ATTTCAATTTACAAAAAAAAAAATGGCGTTTTCATCTTTTGAGCTTCTAGTCATGAAATCTATGCAGCCTACTCAATCACTTTTTATAGCTACTGTTTACAGGCCTCCTGGGCCATATACAGCGTTCCTCTCTGAGTTTCCTGAATTCCTATCTAGAGGTGAGATGGAGGGATCTGCAAAAGGTTGAGGGAGCCAATAGTTTTATTCCCCTGTGAGACAATAGTTTTATTCCCCTGTGAGCCAATAGTTGTATTCCCCTGTGAGCCAATAGTTTTATTCCCCTGTGAGCCAATAGTTTTATTCCCCTGTGAGCCATTAGTTGTATTCCCCTGTGAGCCAATAGTTGTATTCCCCTGTGAGCCATTAGTTGTATTCCCATGTGAGCCAATAGTTGTATTCCCCTGTGAGCCAATAGTTTTATTCCCCTGTGAGCCAATAGTTGTATTCCCCTGTGAGCCATTAGTTGTATTCCCCTGTGAGCCTGTGAGCCAATGCTACAGATGTTAGAAAATTGAGTCAAGATATTATGTGTGCAGTAAAACTGAGTAGGTTGATGTGTATGATATTGGATGTGATTTAGTGAGAGTGTGTATGATAATATACAGAGGACCTATGGATCTGAGTAGGTTGATGTGTGTTATATTGGATGTGATTTAGTGAGAGTGTGTATGATGTCTGGGTAAGAGTAAGACTATAATGTGTGATGTCCAAATAAATAATAACCCAGCTAATTGTCATGGTTGAGTGTCTATGTGTGTAACATGAAGTGAGTATAGCCTTAATATTCAGGATGATAATTGTAATCCATATCTTATCACCATCATAGTTGCATCATAATTACCTTTAACATCATTTTCATAGAAAAACACATCCCAACATTTCCATAGCAATTGATGTTTCACATGATCATGAAAGAGAGCTTGCATTACTTTAGAGACGGCTTCAATACAGCACAAATATATCCCGTATGATGTGTTATTATTTCCCTGTTCTGATATCTTCCACTTGCTTGTTGTAACCATGTAGACAAAGACATACAAAACATAGACAAACAAAAAACATTAAATTATAGAAAAGTTCTCGACAACAGAGAGAGGGAGAGAAGAGAAGAGAGAGAATGAGAGAGTGAGTGAGAGAAGAGAGAGAGATCAAGTGCGTGTGTGTATGTATAAATCAGTATGTGTGAGTGTAATTGAGTGCGTGTGTGTTCATATCAAGTAAACTTCAATGCTATTTGGCTCTAAACAGACAGTACATGGTGGCAGACTATCTGACCACTGTGACTGATAGAAAACTGAGGTAAACACTGACTAGGTACAGACTCAGTGAGCACAGTCTGGCTATAGAGACCGGTCATCAAAGGCAAACCTGGCTGCCCAGAGAGGACAGGCTGTGCTCATTCTGTCCAGGGGAGAGGTAGAGGCAGAGGTGTGGGTGAAGAGAGAGAGACAACCTTCCATAACAAAGCCATCACCTACAGAGATATTAACTTGGAGAAGAGTCCCCTAAGTAAGCTGGTCCTGGGGCTCTGTTCACAAACACAAACAGACCCAACAGAGCCCCAGGACAACAACAACAACACAATTAGACCCAACCAAATCATGAGAAAACAAAAAGAGAATTACTTGACACATTGGAAAGAATTAACAAAAAAACAAAGCAAACTAGAATGCTATTTGGCCCTAAACAGAGAGTACACAGTAGCAGAATACATGACCATTGTGACTGACCCAAACTTAAGGAAAGCTTTGACTATGTACAAACTCAGTGAGCATAGCCTTGCTATTGAGAAAGGCCACTGTAGGCAGACCTGGCTCTCAAGAGAAGACAGGCTATGTGCACACTGCCCACAAAATGAGGTGGAAACTGAGCTGCACTTCCTAACCTCCTGCCAAATGTATGACCATATTAGAGACACATATTTCCCTCAGATTACACAGATCCACAAAGAATTCGAAAACAAACCGAATTCTGGGGGAAAAACCACAGTGTGCCATCACAGCAGCAAGATTTGTGACCTGTTGCCACAAGAAAAGGGCAACCAGGTGAAGAACAAACACAATTGTAAATACAACCCATATTTATGTTTATTTATTTTCCCATTTGTACTTTAACTATTTGCACATTGTTACAACACTGTATATATACATAATATGACACTTGAAATGTCTTTATTCTTTTGAAACTTCTGAGTGTAATGTTTACTGTTAATATTTATTGTTTATTTCACTTTTGTTTACTATCTACTTCACTTGCTTTGGCAATGTTAACATACGTTTCCCATGCCAATAAAGCCCTTAAATTGAATTGAAGTGAGAGAGAGTTAAGTATGGGTGAAGAGAGAGAGGGAGAGAGAGGTGTGTGTGTGGGGTTTTGTCCATGGACCGTTCACCCTGGCTGTTTCTCTTTGATCACTGTGAATTCTCTTTCTGATCATTTCTAAAAAGGTATTCACTGTCCCCAAAGCATCAGACACAGTGTGAGGTGTGTGTGATGAGGTGTGAGATGAGGTGTGAGATGAGGTGTGAGATGAGGTGTGAGATGAGGTGTGTGTGTGAGTAGAAGAGAGTGTACACATGTCTACCTCTCAGACTGGGAAGACTCATTTCAGAAGATCTACGCTGGTCTAGTGGTTTCCATTGAAGCGTGTGTGTGATCGTGCGTCATGACACTTTGGCCTGACGCACTCCCTGCACCTCTCATTTCCACAAGTAAAGGTCACAATTAAATAATACCAAAATTCTACCTCTCCCTCTCTCTCTCTCTGTCACTGACATACGTTTACATTTGACATTTTAGTCATTTAGCAGACGCTCTTATCCAGAGTGACTTACAGTTAGTGAGTGCATACATTATTCATACAATTATCATCCTGAATATTACATACACACACACAAACACTTTATTGATAATGTTGATGTGATTTGACATTATGATGTCTTTAGCAGTTCCTCAGTGCCTGTTGGAATAACTATGGCAGTCTATCTAAGCACACTCTCTACACCAGCGCACTCCAACCTTGTTCCTGGAGAGCTACCGTGCTGTGGGTTAACTCCAACCCTGTTCCTGGAGAGCTACCGTCCTCTAGGTTAACTCCAACCCTGTTCCAGGAGAGCTGCCGTCCTGTAGGTTAACTCCAACCCTGTTCCTGGAGAGCTACCATGCTGTAGGTTAACTCCAACTCTGTTCCTGGAGAGCTACCATGCTGTAGGTTAACTCCAACCCTGTTCCTGGAGAGCTACCATGCTGTGGGTTAACTCCAACCCTGTTCCTGGAGAGCTACCGTGCTGTGGGTTAACTCCAACCCTGTTCCTGGAGAGCTACCATGCTGTAGGTTAACTCCAACCCTGTTCCTGGAGAGCTACCGTGCTGTGGGTTAACTCCAACCCTGTTCCTGGAGAGCTACCATGCTGTAGGTTAACTCCAACCCTGTTCCTGGAGAGCTACCGTCCTCTGGGTTAACTCCAACCCTGTTCCTGGAGAGCTACCGTGCTGTGGGTTAACTCCAACCCTGTTCCTGGAGAGCTACCATGCTGTAGGTTTTAACTCCAACCCTGTTCCTGGAGAGCTACCGTGCTGTGGGTTAACTCCAACCCTGTTCCTGGAGAGCTACCATGCTGTGGGTTAACTCCAACCCTGTTCCTGGAGAGCTACCATGCTGTAGGTTTTAACTCCAACCCTGTTCCTGGAGAGCTACCGTGCTGTGGGTTAACTCCAACCCTGTTCCTGGAGAGCTACCATGCTGTAGATTTTAACTCCAACCCTGTTCCTGGAGAGCTACCGTCCTCTAGGTTTTCACTCCAACCCTAATCTAGAACACATTATTCTAATAATTAGCTGGTTGATATGCTGGACTAGGGCCCGGATTCACAAAACTTCTTAAGAATAAAAATGTTTCTAAGTGCCATTTTTTCCTGAAGTTTATACTTAAGAAGAAGCTTACTAAAAGTTGCTTTTCCTCAATAAAGTTATTGGAAATGTTGTTACGTTTTTCCCTATGTTTCTTCCTAAGAAAAAAGTTAAGAAGAAATGGAATTCTTGAAAATAATGTTTTAGGATTTCTTCTTGGAAATGTACTTAACTTTAGGACAGCTAAACCTTTGTCTTGTGCAGACTGGCGTCAGGAGGTGAGCATTAAATAAATACATTATAACTAAAAACATCAATGTAAACCTTAATTTGAAAAAGCTTTTATTTAATGACATATTTGACTAAATAATGAATATTATAATAATAATGGTTGAAATGGTCATATAAAATCAAATGATGACAAAGCTAAATGTATTGATTAGAAAAGTTTATTCAAATAACAATAGTCCCTGACCACGTTCTACTGAGGCAATATCGACTACCACGACACTCTTATCATGTACTGGCCCATGGCCCGGGAGCACACATGACTCCTGTATCAAATTCAGCCCTGGGAGTCAAGTTTGAGGAAGGTCACATTGATGGATGGCTATTATGTGAAGAGATCAGAAAACCCTTCATTTCCTTTACCTGATCCCTGTTACCTGTGGAATTGTTTTATGGTCCACAGCACGCTTAAAATAGTGTTGCTTCTTATGATATCAATTTACTACTTTGTATGTTTGGGGTTTTAGGTGATAGTGGTTATGGACAAAAAACATGGCTCATGACACCAATCCTACACACTAACAACGATGCAGAAAAGAACTACAACCATGTTCAGATGAAAATGAGGAGTTTAGCAGAGAGATCTATCGGAGGCCTAAGTTATTTTATACAGCCCAGAAAAAACATGCAAGATCATAACCTCAGCATGTATCTTGCACAACATCTGCATACAAAACAGGATGCCACATCCCAATATACCTGACATTCCACCAGCCGTACCTGACTAGGATGTTGCCGCTGATCACAATGCCCCCTGGGAGATGCAGTTCTGGCCTACAAGCAAGAAATGACCTCATAAGAAGGAGATTCACATGACAAAAAAGGAGGTCTGTATGATATCGAACCAGATTTATTTTAGGATATTAATCTTCAAGTCTTCTTCGCTTCTCCATGGCAAACTTCTCCTTCTCCAGGGCTAATCTCTCGCCTTCCACCTTCAGCAGCTCCTCCTGCACGCTGCGCAGGGCCGTGACCTCCCCCAGGAGCGTCCTCTGGACAGCCACCATCTCCTCCACACTAGCAAGCCGCCTTGCCCGGGGTGGCACTGGCTCGTACATTGGGGTGTCATGATGGATAAGCATCTCCTCCTCGGTGATGATCTGTTGAGAAAATACAATTAATCTGTTATGGGAATGATATGTGTTGTATTATTATAGAATAATAATAAACGTATTAAATGAAAAATCTAACAAACACCTTCCTCTGCTTGTTCTTCTGTTACATGATCATGATGATCCACAGCTCCCACATCCGGGGACAGGGGCATATGGATGAGGCCCAGTGTTATTTCTGGAAGGTCAGACACATCGTGTCAGCATGACAACAACTTTTCAAGAGCTGTAGGCTCGACATGATGAGAGAAGTAAACAAGTGTAACCTTAGCTGCACGACTGGATACTATTGTAACCATGAATGTTTTCTGCCACAGACACAGTTGGCTACCGGACATTTAAATACAGCAAGAAAACTTAATTAAACGTGCATTATATAATAATAATAATATGCCATTTAGCAGACGCTTTTATCCAAAGCGACTTACAGTCATGTGTGCATACATTTTTTTTGTGTATGGGTGGTCCCGGGGATCGAACCCACTACCTTGGCGTTACAAGCGCCGTGCTCTACCAGCTGAGCTACAGAGGATTATCTTGCTAGATAGTAATTAACAATATTTTACAATATTCTAGAAGTGTTATATAGCTAGAGTTAGCTCGTAAATTTGCAAAGAAGAACTTGGCTAACTTAGCTAACGTTAACGTTGTTAGCTATGTTGGCTAATTAGCTAATGTTGTTACACGTTAGCTAACTTACCGGTCACGCCACTCCTTGTCCGACCGCAGCCCCTCTACCACCGTCTCTCCTATCATGGACAACACCTTCTCCTCCAGCTGGTCCACATGAATGCTCGATATTTTTTTCATTTCACTTCACCAATTTGGACTATTTTGTGTATGTCCATTACATGAAATAAAAATAAAAATAAATTTCAATTACAGGCTGTAATGCAACAAAATAGGAAAAACACCAAGGGGGATGAATACTTTTGCAAGGCACTGTAGCTAGTCTGACGGCTATAATGTGTTTAAAATAAAAATGTATTTTTATTCTCCAGACATAAAGCAAAAAAAATTATGGAATAAAATTGAAATATCAACACTTTATTATAGCCAAATCCTATCATCCCTGTCACATAGGCTTATTTATTGGTTTCAAGCACGTCACTAATGTCAATGCCACATACAGTGGGGAAAAAAGTATTTAGTCAGCCACCGATTGTGCAAGTTCTCCCACTTAAAAAGATGAGAGAGGCCTGTAATTTTCATCATAGCTACACGTCAACTATGACAGACAAAATGAGGAAAAAAAATCCAGAAAATCACATTGTAGGATTTTTAATGAATTTATTTGCAAATTATGGTGGAAAATAAGTATTTGGTCACCTACAAACAAGCAAGATTTCTGGCTCTCACAGACCTGTAACTTCTTCTTTAAGAGGCTCCTCTGTCCTCCACTCATTACCTGTATTAATGGCACCTGTTTTAACTTGTTATCAGTATAAAAGACACCTGTCCACAACCTCAAACAGTCACACTCCAAACTCCACTATGGCCAAGACCAAAGAGCTGTGAAAGGACACCAGAAACAAAATTGTAGACCTGCACCAGGCTGGGAAGACTGGATCTGCAATAGGTAAGCAGCTTGGTTTGAAGAAATCAACTGTGGGAGCAATTATTAGGAAATGGAAGACATACAAGACCACTGATAATCTCCCTCGATCTGGGGCTCCACGCAAGATCTCACCCCGTGGGGTCAAAATGATCACAAGAACGGTGAGCAAAAATCCCAGAACCACACGGGGGGACCTAGTGAATGACCTGCAGAGAGCTGGGACCAAAGTAACAAAGCCTACCATCAGTAACACACTACGCCGCAAGGGACTCAAATCCTGCAGTGCGAGACGTGTCCCCCTGCTTAAGACAGTACATGTCTAGGCCCGTCTGAAGTTTGCTAGAGTGCATTTGGATGATCCAGAAGAGGATTGGGAGAATGTCATATGGTCAGATGAAACCAAAATATAACTTTTTGGTAAAAACTCAACTCGTCGTGTTTGGAGGACAAAGAATGCTGAGTTGCATCCAAAGAACACCATACCTACTGTGAAGCATGGGGGTGGAAACATCATGCTTTGGGGCTGTTTTTCTGCAAAGGGACCAGGACGACTGATCCGTGTAAAGGAAAGAATGAATGGGGCCATGTATCGTGAGATTTTGAGTGAAAACCTCCTTCCATCAGCAAGGGCATTAAAGATGAAACGTGGCTGGGTCTTTCAGCATGACAATGATACCAAACACACTGCCCGGGCAACGAAGGAGTGGCTTCGTAAGAAGCATTTCAAGGTCCTGGAGTGGCCTAGCCAGTCTCCAGATCTCAACCCCATAGAACATCTTTGGAGGGAGTTGAAAGTCTGTGTTGCCCAGCGACAGCCCCAAAACATCACTGCTCTAGAGGAGATCTGCATGGAGGAATGGGCCAAAATACCAGCAACAGTGTGTGAAAACCTTGTGAAGACTTACAGAAAACGTTTGACCTGTGTCATTGCCAACAAAGGGTATATAACAAAGTATTGAGAAACTTTTGTTATTGACCAAATACTTATTTTCCACCATAATTTTCAAATAAATTCATTAAAAATCCTACAATGTGATTTTCTGAATTTTTTAAAATCATTTTGTCTGTCATAGTTGATGTGTACCTATGATGAAAATTACAGGCCTCTCTCATCTTTTTAAGTGGGAGAACTTGCACAATTGGTGGCTGACTAAATACTTGTTTTCCCCACTGTAAGATATTTACGAAGTTCTTAAGAAAGATATTTATGAAGTTCTTATGAAAACTATGAATTTCTAAGAACATTTTGAGTAATTGCACTAACTATCTTATGAACTTCTTATTTTTTTCCTTAAGAAACTTCTTCAGTTTATTTCGCAAGTAGTGTTTTGTGAATCCGGCCCAGAATACTGAAGTGCCTTTCATGAATAATCCTATAGGATGAGTTGCCTATCCGAATATTTTCAGTAGCATGTTATTTTTCTCTCATTACTGCATCCTCTAGCCACTTTGAACAACATATTGCCACATATGACAGTGATGGCAACATTATGCGAATTTTTCGGAAAAGTGGAATCAAAAAACGCATAACACTTGGTGTGAATTGTTTAGTGTGTAAAAATCAAAATCAATATTTTCCCGGAATCCAGACGAAACGATCACAACCAAGTTGGTGAAAAAAGGCCTTCCCCTTATAAAAAAAAAATTGCAGTAAGTGCAGTTGACTGATATTTTGGAAGCAGTAATTACAGAATAACTGCACTCTAACTGCAGCAAAACAACTGTTATTTTGGATGCAGTATTTGCAGCAGACTGCAGTTATTCTGCAATCTTTTTTCGTAAGGGGCGGGACAGCAAGTGCAGCCTGGCTGACACCCAGACCCACAGTGTTGCCAATTTTGCAGCTTTATCGCTATAGTTAGTGGGTTTTCAGCCACTCCAGCGACTGTAAGTCGCTCTGATGCATTTCTATAGGCTACGCAATTGAGTGAGAAAACAGAGTTTTGATGGCCTCTATTAAAAAGAGGAGGATCCCATCAGCTTTCTATAGGCTAGGCCTACTATATTCATTTAACAACTTTCCTAATATTATGCACATGGCTTTGCTTCACAACAGGGAGTATAGCCTACTTGGCTGGCATGAAAATTAACCATGGGAAAAGCGTCCTCCATTCGCTATTTAAGTGCATGTTCCGAGACAGGTGCATGATAATGGTCCATTCTAAATCAAAACTAATATCATACATATATTATTTAGTATATGTAAAGACAACATTAAATTAAGAATAGTCTGATGGGGGGTGACAATATTAGCCTATCACTTGTGAATGATGCCCAGCTTGTGCATTAAGTCAAGAAACAGTGCATACCTTTTTTTTTGGCGCGACTTTTTCAATTCACAGTCCCAGAACCTCATGTAGCCTAGCCCATAGGCCTATACGTTTTGATAAGGTGTGTATCACAACTAAAGTGGAACAGATTACGTTTTGTAAACATTGGTCATAGGTGTTATCAACATTTGGTAAACGTTGGTATTAGTGTAATTTAATACAATATAAAACTGTTAATTACTAACTCTTGATGAACTATAATTGGATTGGTAACTATTTACATGACTGAAATGGGGACAATTATAGATTTTTTAAAAATTATTTAACCAACAAGGAAATACAAAATACAATATAAAACGGTTAATTACTAACTCTTGATGAACTATAATTGGATTAGCAACTATTTACATTACTATTTCCCTAGTATTGTTTTTTTTTTTTTTACCACTAGACACATTTAATAAAATCACTGGAGTTACAAAATGTCCCCTTTAGTCAAAAAGCATTAGGGTCGACTCTGTGCTTGTGCTCCTTCTGTCTCTTGGGCTCATGCTTAATCTTCTGTCTCTCTCCATTATTTCAGGTGCTGTGGTCTGAAACAAAGTAACTGAGCGTTAAAACTCATCATTGCACTAGTAACATTTATTTGAGGGGCACAGTCAGCTCGTGCTCTCTCACACCATTTGGGCACACAGAGCTCTTTCTGTTTATCTGCGACTCTCTTCTTCTCTGGAGGAGAAGTAACGTTACAGAAGAAGAAAGTGACCTAGCATTATGGGATAGTGGTGAAGTAAACAACGGTATTTAGCTAGACTAGGCTAAACATCCAGCGGTTGTGTTAGCGAGCTACGACGGAGTCGAGCATACAAATGAATTATTCAGAGAAATTACAATGAAGAACAACATGTTCATGTAAGTAAAACACTTGTGCTACTGTTGCGTACTGTTAATGGTTAATGAACACAAAATATCTGATGTGGAACGCCACCTGTCCGACCTTTGATCTGTATTTGTTGCCCCTCTCCTTAAAGGGGCTCATGATTCAGGCATTCATCGATTTCGGTCTCACACTCAGTGATTTTGGCCTCTTTGTGGCATCTGCTGCAGGCCTCTGAATGAGATTGAAACATTCATCATAATTCAGTTGAATTAGTAATAAAGCAGCACAATATGTTATTCTACTGTAGATCTAGAACAAAGAGGCCAATGGATTCTGGGTAAATAGATGCCGGGTTGTCTTCTGAGCTATAAATAATAAAGGTTCTACTAGGGTATCCGGTATAAATGTGCGCCTACTTGACATGACTCTTAAAAGAGGCAGGTCTTC